CCCATGAAAAAATATTCTTTAAAAATCCACGCCTTGTATAGCCCATGAAAAAATATTCTTTAAAAATCCACGCCTTGTATAGCCCATGAAAAAATATTCTTTAAAAATCCACGCCTTGTATAGCCCATGAAAAAATATTCTTTAAAAATCCACGCCTTGTATAGCCCATGAAAAAATATTCTTTAAAAATCCACGCCTTGTATAGCCCATGAAAAAATATTCTTTAAAAATCCACGCCTTGTATAGCCCATGAAAAAATATTCTTTAAAAATCCACGCCTTGTATAGCCCATGAAAAAATATTCTTTAAAAATCCACGCCTTGTATAGCCCATGAAAAAATATTCTTTAAAAATCCACGCCTTGTATAGCCCATGAAAAAATATTCTTTAAAAATCCACGCCTTGTATAGCCCATGAAAAAATATTCTTTAAAAATCCACGCCTTGTATAGCCCATGAAAAAATATTCTTTAAAAATTCTTGTATAGCCCATGAAAAAATATTCTTTAAATTGTATAGCCCATGAAAAAATATTCTTTAAAAATCCACGCCTTGTATAGCCCATGAAAAAATATTCTTTAAAAATCCACGCCTTGTATAGCCCATGAAAAAATATTCTTTAAAAATCCACGCCTTGTATAGCCCATGAAAAAATATTCTTTAAAAATCCACGCCTTGTATAGCCCATGAAAAAATATTCTTTAAAAATCCACGCCTTGTATAGCCCATGAAAAAATATTCTTTAAAAATCCACGCCTTGTATAGCCCATGAAAAAATATTCTTTAAAAATCCACGCCTTGTATAGCCCATGAAAAAATATTCTTTAAAAATCCACGCCTTGTATAGCCCATGAAAAAATATTCTTTAAAAATCCACGCCTTGTATAGCCCATGAAAAAATATTCTTTAAAAATCCACGCCTTGTATAGCCCATGAAAAAATATTCTTTAAAAATCCACGCCTTGTATAGCCCATGAAAAAATATTCTTTAAAAATCCACGCCTTGTATAGCCCATGAAAAAATATTCTTTAAAAATCCACGCCTTGTATAGCCCATGAAAAAATATTCTTTAAAAATCCACGCCTTGTATAGCCCATGAAAAAATATTCTTTAAAAATCCACGCCTTGTATAGCCCATGAAAAAATATTCTTTAAAAATCCACGCCTTGTATAGCCCATGAAAAAATATTCTTTAAAAATCCACGCCTTGTATAGCCCATGAAAAAATATTCTTTAAAAATCCACGCCTTGTATAGCCCATGAAAAAATATTCTTTAAAAATCCACGCCTTGTATAGCCCATGAAAAAATATTCTTTAAAAATCCACGCCTTGTATAGCCCATCCACGCCTTGTATAGCCCATGAAAAAATATTCTTTAAAAATCCACGCCTTGTATAGCCCATGAAAAAATATTCTTTAAAAATCCACGCCTTGTATAGCCCATGAAAAAATATTCTTTAAAAATCCACGCCTTGTATAGCCCATGAAAAAATATTCTTTAAAAATCCACGCCTTGTATAGCCCATGAAAAAATATTCTTTAAAAATCCACGCCTTGTATAGCCCATGAAAAAATATTCTTTAAAAATCCACGCCTTGTATAGCCCATGAAAAAATATTCTTTAAAAATCCACGCCTTGTATAGCCCATGAAAAAATATTCTTTAAAAATCCACGCCTTGTATAGCCCATGAAAAAATATTCTTTAAAAATCCACGCCTTGTATAGCCCATGAAAAAATATTCTTTAAAAATCCACGCCTTGTATAGCCCATGAAAAAATATTCTTTAAAAATCCACGCCTTGTATAGCCCATGAAAAAATATTCTTTAAAAATCCACGCCTTGTATAGCCCATGAAAAAATATTCTTTAAAAATCCACGCCTTGTATAGCCCATGAAAAAATATTCTTTAAAAATCCACGCCTTGTATAGCCCATGAAAAAATATTCTTTAAAAATCCACGCCTTGTATAGCCCATGAAAAAATATTCATTAAAAAATATTCTTTAAAAATCCACGCCTTGTATAGCCCATGAAAAAATATTCTTTAAAAATCCACGCCTTGTATAGCCCATGAAAAAATATTCTTTAAAAATCCACGCCTTGTATAGCCCATGAAAAAATATTCTTTAAAAATCCACGCCTTGTATAGCCCATGAAAAAATATTCTTTAAAAATCCACGCCTTGTATAGCCCATGAAAAAATATTCTTTAAAAATCCACGCCTTGTATAGCCCATGAAAAAATATTCTTTAAAAATCCACGCCTTGTATAGCCCATGAAAAAATATTCTTTAAAAATCCACGCCTTGTATAGCGCATGAAAAAATATTCTTAAAAAAATCCACGCCTTGTATAGCCCATGAAAAAATATTCTTTAAAAAATCCACGCCTTGTATAGCCCATGAAAAAATATTCTTTAAAAAATCCACGCCTTGTATAGCCCATGAAAAAATATTCTTTAAAAAATCCACGCCTTGTATAGCCCATGAAAAAAATATTGAAAAAATATTCTTTAAAAATCCACGCCTTGTATAGCCCATGAAAAAATATTCTTTAAAAATCCACGCCTTGTATATCCCATGAAAAAATATTCTTTAAAAATCCACGCCTTGTATAGCCCATGAAAAAATATTCTTTAAAAATCCACGCCTTGTATAGCCCATGAAAAAATATTCTTTAAAAATCCACGCCTTGTATAGCCCATGAAAAAATATGATACCCTGTACGATAATGATATTCACCTATTTGGCTATATTTCGTGAGGCGAATCGTCAAGAGAAACAGATGATGATGCGGCATGGCAATGCAATGCTGATGCATCGGCATTCAACGGTGGCGGGAACTGGAAGTAAGTGATGAAACCACTACTACAAAATTGTAAATATTATTTCTCATAAACTTTGAAAACTAGTTTCATAAGAATTCTCAAATGAAACTAATTAAGAAATTAGGAATTTTCTTTACTCAAATCAATCAAACTTATTGCTACAAAAACAAAAAAGTATTTTAATGTGATGATTTCACCATTATCTGTTAGCAAACTATTTCACTACTTTTGTATAGACCCATCCTCCCCTCTATCCTTCAGCAGTTTGTGGCAAATTAAAAAAAAAGTAATAATAAATACTATTTTGCTGATGTGCTGTGCAGTTCTGCCACCACATTTCCAAAAATGACTTCCATGAGTTATGCTTCTAGTGCAAAAGTTTCACATCAGAAAATTTCCTGACAGTTTGCTGGTGATTTGGGAAATGGGTGTGTGAGTGTGTGTGCGCGTTTTAGCGTGTTTTATGCACTTGGCCTACAGGTGTAATAACGGTTTTTTCCTATTTATGAGGTCCAAGATAAGAAACAAAATATTGCGGAACTCTCGGTGCGAAAAACTGCATGTGTGTGCGTTTTAGTTATTAACTCCAATAGTGGTTTGGTTGATGTAACCCAGCAAAGACGTAATTATGAACAAATTTTTGGGTCCTTACCCAGGAATGTAAAGTGTTATTCTATAATAATGTTTAGAATGATCAGGATCAATGTGGGTTTTGGGGTATCTAAAAAAATAGTCTGGCTTCATCCAAAAATATATTATTCCCAACAGTAACCCATAAAAAGGCACATAATTTGGTACAGGGACGGCAAGCTCACCAATTCACTTATAAACTAGGTGATGTGCGCCGATTCGTACCTAAAATTATCCCATGTTAAAGCCATCATGAATAGTGTTAGGTCCATAATATAGTATTTGTACAGAATTAATTGGAATTCCTACAAATAGTTTTTCAATGACATGACACTGGTAAAATTGAGAAAATACAATAAAAACGTAAGAATAACGATATTTCGTTTTTGAGAACCTCGCCTAAAATCGTATGCAAGATGAGTGCAAGATTTTTGTAGAATATTGCGTGGGTGAAAAATCGCATGTTGTAATAATTGGAGCCCGGTTCAATAAGTTAAAGAAAACCAGTAAGGAAAGTAGCAAAGACTGACGGGGCGGACTATATGATACCCTTCACCACTATGGGTGTTTTTAAAAGATGCAGCCCAACAGAAGGGCCATTAACATGAAATTGGATGAACTAAAATATGTGACCTTTATCTAAATGTGAATCGACTTAGATCATAAACTAATATAGACTAACGTATGCACTTTTTGTTCCTAATGGACATATTTTGGGTCCTACTTAAAATCGGATGAAACTATATGGGAGATACAACTAAATTTGGACGGATTTCAACAAAACTTGACACACCCTTGGCTAAACTATTTTAAGTACGTTGTGCAAAATAAATCCGAACTGGCTTCAGCAAAACTTAACACACAAACTTTAGTACGTTGTGCAAAATTGTATGGCAATCTGCCTAACTTTGGGTCTTAAAATATAACAATTTTCGGAAACTTTACACACATCATACTACACTCAATTCAGTACGTGATGTCAAATTTCGTGCAAAATTAAAATTAAATCGGGCAAAAAAATCTAAATCTGAGCCGATTTTCACGAAACTTAACACACATCATTATATTCTTAATACAGTACGCTATGCCAAATTTCGTCTAAATCGAAAGACATATAGGGAGGTTGGTACCCCATCTACATTAAATCGGGCGGAAGATATATAGGGACTTTTGTACACCATATACATGAAATCGGACGAAAATATATATGGGGGCTATATCTAAATCTGAACCGATTTTCACGCAACTTAACACACATCATTCCAGGGTTTATTCAGTACGCTATGCAAAATTTCGAGGAAATCGAATGATATATTTTGGGACTTTGGTGAACCATTTATATTAAATCGGTCGAACATATATATGGGAGCTATATCTAAATCTGAACCGATTTTCAAGAAATTTTACACACATCATTCTAGACTCAATTCAGTATGCTATGCCAAATTTCGTGCATATCGGAAGATATATAGGGACTTTGGTACACCATTTACATTAAATCGCACGAAAATATATATGGGATCCATATCTAAATCTGGACCGATTTTCAGGAAACTTGACACACATCAGTCTAGACCTAATTCAGTACGATGTGCCAAATTTCGTGCAAATCGAAAGATATATAGGGACTTTGGTACAACATTTACATTAAATCGGACGAATATATATATATATATGGGAGCTATATCTAAACCTGAACCGATTTTTCTCAATTTCAATAGGGTTCGTCCTTGGGCCAAATAAGTGACCTATGCCAAATTTCATCCAATTCGGATCATAAATGCGACCTGTACTTTATTTACAATTTAACATGGACAGACGGACGGACAGGCGGACGGACGGACGGACATGCGTAAATCGACTCAGAAAGTGATTCTATGCATATTCTCAAACGGAACCATGTGTCTATCTCGTTTCCTTTTGCCTGTAGTGAAGAGTATAATTAGCCTAATTTCGTCGGAATTTAAGATTTTCTCCTATGTACTTGTAATTTTCGTAACTTTGGAGCCCACATATCTAGGGAAGTATACATTTCGCCACTAAAATTTTTTTGTTTTCGTGTTTTTGATACTAAGTGATACCTATGATTACATTTCACATTTCAGATTTTTCTAAAGCGAATATAAGCCCTAATATCTAATATAAAGTTCCCATTCTATTTTAGCTATTTTAAAGGCCTTACCTACGTTCTTAACCCTTTGTGGCCCAATGTTGCACACAGGCAACAAAATGTTTTAGAGCTTATATTTAAAATGCAGCTAGTAGATATATATTATTTGAATTTCATATGTCAAGACCTAATTATGGACGACACATATCAAAAGAAAAATCAAATAAATTCAACATTTTGGTAAAGTTCTGAGCCTTTCAATATAGAGAAGAGGGTAAATTTGTGTACAGTACTTATTTGTGTATACAGTCCAAATTATTTAAATCGGTTCGTATTCAAATTGTACGAATTCTGCCATCAGAATTACTTTTGAATCTTGTAAAAATTAATACAGAGAATAATTTAAAATGATTTTTCTGTCGATTTTGCATTTAGTTTTCCTGATATTGGACTTTAAGTTTTCTGAAAGAATGTACTGTATCTCCCGAATGCAAGGATGTAGCGATGTCAAATTTTGTGCATATCCTATTTAGGATAGTTGCATTAAATCTGTAAACTGAAATTTGTTCTAAGATTACGGAAAAAAATTCGGGGCTCAAAGGGTTAATTTTGACTATAGGTTCTCCATATGTGGAACTACCTCCAAAGTTTTAATTCTACCAGAATTTTTGTTTTTGTTTTTTACCCTCACCCTTAAGACTAATGTATGTATGTGCAATTTGTACACTACTGCAAAAATGTGCCTAATCGAAGTATTTCTTTTAGTCCCCATGTTTCTTTGGAAATTTGGAATCGATTTGCAAATGTTCGTCAGTCTGGTTGGCTGGTGCTCATGATAACTCCCGAATAAAGTAACCGATTTCATTCAAACTTTGGACCTTGAAATATTTAGTCTAAACTTAAATCAAGCGTGTTAACATGTTGGGAAATATCGGACTACGGACTATCCGATTTGAACCAAACTTTATACAATCTAATATTTTAACCAAGTGGAAGGTCGGACTTATCGCTCTACTCAGTCTGGTACTTCCCCATAATGAATCAATATCTTAACATCTTGTAAATCTCATATGAAGCGAAAGGAATATCAAATCTCATTCAAATTTTGCATATCGTAATATTTTTACCAAGCCCAGATCAAGTATGTTACTTTCTCCGCAAAGTATCAAAATTTAACTTTTTCGATCATGATTTCCTAGAGTGAACATTTATTTATTTAGTTTTGTTCGGCTTATAATTGTGTGTCTGAAATCCATTTTCCAATGTATGGTGTAATAATTGTGGTCTCTACAACTATCAGAAAAACATAAAAACAAATTTTAGGCCACTTGATTCGCCTAAATATTAATCCATTATTAGCAAAAACAATACGTGTGTTGGCTGGAACAGAATCTTCATGGAAAAGTTCGTGGCGATAAGTCCTTAAATGTAGCCTGTATTTATTTATAAATTACAATGAACGAATGAACGGGCAGAAACACATGTCCAGATCGACTCATTTAGTCGAGATATGGTATACTAAAAGGCGGGACCAATTTGTTCTAAATTTTTGCGGCTACAAAAATTTATAACATTTTGAAATTTAAACGCCCAAAATGTATAGCACCTCGGCACTAGACCGCTATTCCGTCGACCTCGCAGACCAAAATAGAATAATAAGCCAGTATACGTTTGTACTAAGGCGACCCCATCCCTCATTATCTTCAAAAATTTGTTTTTTTAATTTGAATCTACTCTAATACAATAACGCCCCTGTAAAATATCAGGTGAAAATCGCAACAACTCTTGAATAAATAGCCGATTTGTTGTACACTAATTCAAGAATGTCCCTACAAAATTTCATGTGAAAATCTCAAGAACTCTTGAAGATATAGCCGATTTATTGTGTCAGCATCAAAACAGCACGGCTAAAAGGCTTCTCAAACTTTAAACGCGTTTTTCTCTTTTGCGAATGGCGGGCACGATTACTCAAAAACTAATAACCCAATCGATTCCAAATTTTTACACGGACCACCAAGACAACACCAATCTGGATCCTAGATTCCAAGACTCTTTATTCCGCCTTTTCATCGGAGCGTTGACGATTGGACAGTCACTCATATCGCAGCTCTTTTATGTAGCAATATTGAGAGAAGTTTTTATGGGCCCCATATCATTCAAAATTATATTTTATTTCCGCCATATCATACATTCTTCCCTGCAACAACAAAATAACTAACCCTTTCCTCCAATACATCAAGTTATGCTGGGTTATTACATATTTATGTCCACATATAAACTTCCGTATGCAGATAAGCAGTTGAACACACAAAAACCCCGATAATAACGCAACTTAAAACAAAAAGTAATAAAAATAGAAAACTCAAAGTGAAATAAATTTTGCAAATATGGCAAAAAAACGTACAGAAAATAAAACGAAAACCAAAACAGCCATAAGCCAACTAGTTTGTTAACAACTAGGCAGCAATATGGAGCTGTTAACCTAAATCATTCTATGTGGCGTATAAGTTATGCGGATACTCATACATACTCATGCGCTGGGGTTAAACAGCAACAAAACTACATAGTTTATAAAATATTACTCATACGCCACAAGGGGAGAACATTATTTTATAGCTATTAAAATAAAATAGAGAATTTGTTTTTTTATCCATTTTATATGTTTTAATTTTAAGCCATAAATATTCATAATTTATTATTGCTAAATGTGTTAGTTTTTTATTACAATTTATAATGCAGAGAAATGAAAATTAAATTTTCTTAATTTTTTCGTTTTTCTTTTTTCTCTATTTGTGCCAGGTGAAGCTCTAAGCGGTTCTGGTTCCTCGAAACAATTGACAATGCACGAGGTCGAACAGGATCATACACCGACCAAAGATAAACATTTAATTAAAATGAAACGAGAACACAAGGCTGCAAGAACATTAGGTATAATCATGGGTACATTCATACTCTGTTGGCTGCCATTCTTTTTGTGGTAAGTTCATGGGGAAAAACAAAAATAACAACAACAACCAAAAAAAATACTCTTTATGGAATCTCTATTTTCATCATCATCATTAAGTAGACATTTAAGTACTTGGTTTATTTTTCCAACTGAACTAAAGTAAAGAAATGGAAAATTAAATAAAATACTTGTTTTTCATTTCCCCGGAAAAATCTCTTTTTATACCCTTTTTATGTTGATTTGTTGTTTTTGTCCTTATATATTTTTGTTACTAACCATTTCTAGCATGAATATAAACATAAATTTAGCTGTTGTTAGTTAGTAGGAATACAAAAAACAACGACAATAACAACAACAGAAATAAACACAAACAAAACAATTTAACCATAAATAAACTTTTACAAATATTTTGTTTTCCCCCATATTGTTTGTTTTGTTATTGTGTTACAACTGGTTGGGTTTTTCCAGTTAAATTGTTTGTTTGGTTTTATTGTTAAAGAATTTTTGCAAAACACTAGGACTCCGAAAAAAATGTGAAATAGAAAGTTTGTGAAATCTCAGAAAAAAAGATTTTGTTTAAATAGTTGTGAAAAAAATAAATGATGCAAACAAAATGTCTCACCACTACCACGCCTTGTATAGACCCCACGCCTTGTATAGACCCTTGAAAAAATATTCTTTAAAAAATCCAGGCCTTGTATAGACCCTTGAAAAAATATTCTTTAAAAAATCCAGGCCTTGTATAGACCCTTGAAAAAATATTCTTTAAAAAATCCACGCCTTGTATAGACCCCTTGAAAAAATATTCTTTAAAAAATCCACGCCTTGTATAGACCCCTTGAAAAAATATTCTTTAAAAAATCCACGCCTTTGATAGACCCCTTGAAAAAATATTCTTTAAGAAATCCACGCCTTTGATAGACCCCTTGAAAAAATATTCTTTAAAAAATCCACGCCTTGTATAGACCCCTTGAAAAAATATTCTTTAAAAAATCCACGCCTTGTATAGACCCCTTGAAAAAATATTCTTTAAAAAATCCACGCCTTGTATAGACCCCTTGAAAAAATATTCTTTAAAAAATCCACGCCTTGTATAGACCCCTTGAAAAAATATTCTTTAAAAAATCCACGCCTTGTATAGACCCCTTGAAAAAATATTCTTTAAAAAATCCACGCCTTGTATAGACCCCTTGAAAAAATATTCTTTAAAAAATCCACGCCTTGTATAGACCCCTTGAAAAAATATTCTTTAAAAAATCCACGCCTTGTATAGACCCCTTGAAAAAATATTCTTTAAAAAATCCACGCCTTGTATAGACCCCTTGAAAAAATATTCTTTAAAAAATCCACGCCTTGTATAGACCCCTTGAAAAAATATTCTTTAAAAAATCCACGCCTTGTATAGACCCCTTGAAAAAATATTCTTTAAAAAATCCACGCCTTGTATAGACCCCTTGAAAAAATATTCTTTAAAAAATCCACGCCTTGTATAGACCCCTTGAAAAAATATTCTTTAAAAAATCCACGCCTATATAAGTCCCTAAAAGACATTAAACATTTTTTTAATAATATTTTTTAAACATTTTTGAAAATCCACGCCTATAGAAGTCCTTAAAAATATTTTTTTAATAAAAAAATTATCTCATAAAAAATTTCTCTAAATTGCTAAAGCATCTGAAATTTCTAAATTTATAATCTCTCCCCCTCTTCCCGCCCCTGTGTTTCTTTGCAGGTACACAATTACCACACTCTGTGATGAATGTGATGTACCCGAAATTGTGGTGGCCATACTCTTCTGGATTGGCTATTTCAATTCGACACTGAATCCACTGATATACGCTTATTTCAATCGTGACTTTCGAGAGGCATTTCGAAATACCCTGCAGTGTTTGTTTTGCAATTGGTGGCGTGATCGACACATGGCGCTCGATATGGATATGCGGCGGGGCAGTATGCGCTATGATAATCGGGCGAAAAGTGTCTATTCGGAAAGCTATTTGAATGCTAGCCACGCCCAGAGGCGTACCAGTCAACTAGTCGAAAGTTTATAATGTAGGGATGGGGCGCTATTGGCGCCTACACCCACACCCACATCAGCATCAATGCAAAATCTCCATTTGTTGGGTACTGGCGGCGGGGGTAGCGGTGGCTCATTGTCGACAAACCAAACCACAAACCTGTTGTGTACACCATCACGTACATTGGATACATGGAAGAATTTCAGCACAAGTGCCACAGGAGGTGGTGGCGGTGAATTTAGTGCTAAGGATAAATCCAGCAGTTTTCTCAAAGCGAATGATGGTGTCAGTAGTGTAGGCGGCACCCGAGGCCTCGGTGGCCGTTATCTGGATAGTTGTGGACCAGCAGCAGCAGGTGTTGCTGCGGACAATGACGACGACGATGATGGCGATGAAAATATTCAGGAAATACAAATTGAAATACCCCTAGCATATGTCAACAAATGGCATAAAAATAATAACAAAACCACTGCGAATACGAACAGCAATGCCAGTGCGGGACAAGTAACAACATCCACAACAACCGCATCACAATCCACAGGCATCACAACTACAACCAGCAACACCTCCTCCACCACTCACACAATGGTCTGAAGGAAGCATGAAAGTCAACAACAACAATAGTTGCATGTAAGCGTAAAATAATACCGAAGCATTCACATCAACTTTTCCGCTCCCCATCACGCATCATATTGGTCCCTATTCACACGCACACAGCCACCCACATCCCAAGCAAGCAAAGACCCCCCTCCCCCAGCCACCCTCAAACATAATACCCATGAAAATATGCAGTTGCAATTGCATCTGCCGAACCAACAAATACCAAAGGATCATCCGAACGGATAACAGCAATTTCAACAAAAGGGAGAATGAAAAAAAGTATCCTGCAACAAGAAAAAAAGTGATGCATAAACAATCAACGTGTACCGGAAACCAAAGTAAACTATAGCAATAGTAACAACAGCAACAACATCATCACCTGTATATCCTTACAAGACGAACGGAATCGATTCGAAGAGGGACTCATCATCATAGTGAAATATGTGGTTGTAGACTTTTTCCTATACATATATATTTAACATTTTTTTTAGAATTTGTTTTTGTTTAGCTTTATTTGTTTATTTATTTATTTATTTATTTTCTACAGTTGTCTTCAAATTCGTCCATATGACGTTTGTACTTTGATATATAACATACAACAACTAGTACTAGTACTCTGCTACAAAAAAACAAACATACATATATATAAATGAAATCAAAAAAACAAAAATCTTTTCGTTTTTTTTTATTATTTTTTCAAATTTTCTCTCTCGCAGTCTGTCTTTCTCTCCTGTTTTGTATTTAGAACATAAGATTGATTGTAAATATCTACATTTTTAGGGACATACAAAAAAGAAAAACATTTTCATGGTTGAAATGTCAGTTAGCATGTGTTTTCGTTACACTTGAAAAATTCTATAGAATTTTTTACTTAGAAAAAAGGGGTTACAATTTAAATTCGGAAAACATAAAAAACTTATAAATTTGCAATAATTTCAAGTAACACTGTGAAACAAAAAATAATAATCATAAAATGGAAAAAATTATAAAGATGATATCAATAGAAGCCACGTGTATCGGCGTTTTGTAAAGTTCCGAATTTACCTAAAAGGAGGGTGATCAACATTCCCCCTTCCGAAGGCATTTTAATGTATTCGGATTTGGATTTCTCGAAACCCTTGCATTTTTGAAATATGGTATCTTTGGCAATATTACTGATATAAATGATATGAATAATGGAAAACTCATTTAAAGCGGAGTTATAGCAGGTCAAAATATTCTACAAAAATATTCCCCATAAAGTTTTTCAATAAGTCTCAAAATAGATCAAATCTCGACCGGTAAGGAAAGTAGTAAAGTCGGACTGGGCCGACTATATAATACCCTTCACCACTTTGGGTATATTCTACATATGTATCCGAAAGACCTCGCCTTTTTGAAGGAATTTTGACATGAAATTGAACAAACTTAAATATGTGATTATTATGTCTTTCTGTTAAATTAGGAGTCGTTTGCGCACAGTGGGACATATTTATGTAAATCGATTTAAAGCAATCTTGACGCACGCTATACGGTATGCTGCACTGTCTAAAATTTAATCTGAATCTGACACCCATTGATATATGGAAGCTACGATATACCTATATATAAACCGATTTCAAGCAAACTTGCCAGATATTAATTTATATTATATTCAGTACGTTGTGTTAATCGGCCTAGATATGGAACTTTAGTGCATAATTTACTTAAAATCAGAGGAAAATATATATACGAGGTGTACACATCATTCTAGACTTAAATCAATACGCTATGCCAAAATTCGTGCAAATCGAATGATTTCCACCATTTACATAAACTCGGTCGAAACACTATATGGAAGCTATATCTAAATCTGAACCGATTTTCACGAAACTTAGCACACGTCATTCTATACTTAATTCAATACGCTATGCCAAAGTTCGTGCAAATCAAACGATTTTCAGGGACTTGGGTGCACCATTTATCTAAAATCGGCCGAAACTATATATGGGAGCTATATCTAAATCAGAACTGATTTTCACGAAACTTAGCACACATCATTCTAGATCTAATTCAGTAGGCTATACCAAATTTTGTTCAAATCGAAAGATATATAGGGACTTTGGTACATCATTTACCTATAATCGGGCGAAACTATATATGCATAGTAAACCGAAAAAGTGGACCGATGTTTGTAATTTGTGGTACGAAGGTTTGGTATCCAATGAGAATACAAAACACTTATTTGATTTAAAAACGTGTCCTTTATTGGGGGCAACCCCAAAAAAGTAGGCGATATTGAAAAATTTTAGTGTGCAGATTTGGAACCCAATGAGAACCCAAAATCTAACTTACAACTAATTCGGTTAAAAAAGTTGCCCAAGGCCTTCAAATATCGTACTAAATGGGATCCCAAATACAACAATTTCGATTCAAAAAATGTCCAAGCACCTCAAGGGTACCTTATAATAAAAAACGTGGACCCATATAGCCCATCTTCGAACTTGACCAGCCTGCAGACAAAAGTCAACCCTTCAGAAGATAGAGTGATTAGAAAAGACGGACACTCTGTATGGGCCGAAATTTAATATTTCGTTGAATTACAAAATTAATTAATTCTCTATACTATAGTGAAGGGTATAAAAAATATATAACGTTAAAAAACCTCAAAACTTATATGAAAATTATTTTAAGCAGGAGAATTTTTTGTAGACGAAGTTAGTTGTAGTCGATGTGCTGCAAAAATTAAATTTTATTTAACATCTAAACGCAGAATGCAATCACTCGTTCGATCGGGCAATATTTTCATTACCGCATGAAAGTAAAGTAATATGGAAGTGACCATATTTGTCCTCCGAAGGCAATGAAGCTCTGAAGCCGGAGGCCGATGGAGCTTCGTTCGCTCTGCTAAATTCGTATGTCTCCATAAAAATAAAATTGAAAACAAATAATAATAAAATTACAGCCTATCTGATTGGACTATATCGAAGTATAAATGAATATATTGAAAAACTTCTTCTTTACCCTCTGAGAACCCTAATCCTATATTACAGACATTTTTGTCTAACAATACGCCAAGGGCCTTTAAAAGACCTTAATTGGTCAGTTGATTGAAGCTATGTTATAACATGGATCTAAGCGCACGTAAACTGTTGAAAAATGTGTTTAGTTCCGTAAAAATATAAAATGGTGTTGTAGAACAAATGATGGATATGTGAGCTATGTCTAAACAGGGACATTTTCTCGCAAATTTTCTGCAATCAGAGCTTTTGCCTTTTGAGAATCCGAATTGGTAAAGTCCATCAATACCATCCAGATAGCAAATATGCATTGAAATGCTCTTTCTTAGCCAGAGATCCTTTCACGTCCTACTCAAATTATTTATTTAACACTCCGATAAACTAATATGCTATATTACGATCACTTTAGTACACACCTTTACCCTTGAAAACTAAAATAAAATCTTCTTAGGGAGAACCTAAGAAGGAAAGTTTAATTTTTTACTCTCCTAAAACCCGAAATACCAAATTATTGTAATTTTCGTTTTGAATTATTACTATAACCTTCAAAATACCCATAAACATGGACGAGATCGTCCTTATTTTTCTGAAAATGTATTAATTTCCCATTATTGAAATATTGAACAAAAATCGAATATGGTTTTTTTTCAAACCCGCCATTCAATCTTCCAATTCAAAGCAATTATGGAAATTTTTCACATTAGCCTGAAAATTTATTAATTTTCTGTTAATGGAAACATTGAACAAAAATCGAATATCAATTGTTTTAAAACCCGCCATTCATCCATCCAATTCAATGCGATTTGAGCAATTTTTCAAATTAGCTTAATTTTCATAGTTCTCAGATGCGAAATTGCAATATTTATGGGCATACACAGCGTGACCGTTGTGCCACTAAAGTGGCAATTTTGCCACTTTTTTTCGCCTTTGCTAATTTTGTGAAACTTTTTCATTTTGATACAAAATGTGCCACTTTTTGAATTTTTGTGAAACTTTTTGTTACTTTGTGCCACTTTTTTAAAAAAGTACATAAATTAAAGCGATTTTGCATAAAACATAATGATTTGTTTTGTAATATTGTATCAGACGGAGCGATTTTTAACTAGGGGTCGTTTGTAACAGACGGAGCGATTTTTATTTTGATTATTATTAGGTCGCATTCGCATTTGTGTGTTGGTCTGTTCCCGTACTGCAAGAATCTACTAGATTTTACTATTTTCTTCGATAACATAAAGGAAAATTCGTTATCGTAGTAAAAAGTAGTAGATTGTTGCAGTACGGGAACAGACCATGTGTGTTTCGATTTGTAGAATTTTCGATTGCTAAGTCCCAATTTAGATTAGGCGAGTTTACTTGCGGCAAGTTTTTGTTTGCTGGAGAGAGGGGCAAGGGGAATAGAAATGGAAAAAATTTGCTCGTACCGACAATTTTCTGGCAATTCGTTTTGTGTATTTTGTTTGTAGTGTCAGTAATTTGAAATACCAATCCAAAACATTTTCGAACATAACAAAACATGCACAAAATATCAAAAAAAAAAAAAAAATGGTTTGAAACCG